TGAATATTTTAGACGCCTTTTCAGCAACTGTCACAATAATTTGGCATTCAGGGTTCTTTGTCTACCATTTTATTTTGACACATCCGCCATATAAAGATTCCGCATAAGTCAGTTATTCCTGTTTTGAGTACTTGTAATTCTATCGGAATTTGCTGCGAATTAAATTCAAATATTACAAGGTCCAACAGTCTTTTTCAAAGCAGATTTTGTATGTAGCGATGGCTAATTAATCCACACACCTACAATTCCCATGGTATACACATGCTTTTGTACAACCTTCGGAAGTGCCTTAATGGTTCAGAACACTGAACCAACATTTGTGTTGCTCTGGGAACCTAGGTTTGAATTCTGACCGTGCTCAGCTGTAATAATAAGCCTCATAACTAACAGGGCTCGTCCCCTGGTTTTTCTTTTTATTGCAAAACTTTGATCACTAAGCTCGCTTAAAAGAGAAAAAACTGACTTAAAACAAGTAAAAAAGTGCCAGTCGGTGTTGCCGACAGATAATACCCTCACCCTATGATTTGCCCAAGAGGTCTTCGGATTTATGCACAGGTTTTATTATTAGTTGTACATAAGGTATATATTTAATTAAAGATGCTTCATATTTTATGTTGATCAAATCGGACATTCCATTCGCCTGACATTGGATTCATAAATATGAAGAATTTGGACCATTTGTGGTCTTCAAACTTGATCTGGACTTGGTAAAGACAATAGGTTGTGCAAAATTTGGTTCAAATCGAACACTCCATTAGCCTAATATTGGATTCATAAATATTGAATATTTGGGTCCCATCTTTCTACTTGATCTAGGCTTGGTAATGACAATAGGTTGTACAAAGTTTCATTAAAATCGGATAGTCCGTTTGCATGTTATTATAAAATTAATTTTTAGCACAATTTTGACCATTTTGTGGGGGAGGTACCAGAAGGAGTGGATCGATATTCCCCATCTTCGAACTTAAACTAAGTTTGGAAGAAATATTAAGATGTGCAAAGTTTGAATGAAATCGATTGTTCCCTTCGAGAGTTATCGTGCGCACCAGCTAGGCGGACAACGGACGGACATGTGTTAATCGACTCTAAATCCATTATTTCGATGAGGCACATTTTCATCATATCAAAGTGTATATGAGTCGTCGCTATTTACCACTCAAATTCAAAATAATTGCGCGTTTGGGGGAAAATGCTCAGAATCGTATTATCTCTCAAATAGGTGATGAGATCTTATAATTTAAGACCTTGCGACTTCTTCGATCGGGTATATGTAAAATATTTAGCCTACGTCAACAACCTCAAGGATAAAATTTGCGAGGCTGTTGAAGCATAGAGCAACCGCTTTGCGATTTAGTTAAGCAAAATTTCATGAATAGTATATGGTCCTGTAGGCGTGCTCGTGGTGTCTAATATTGTTTGTAAATTTTTCACTTAACTTTGAAATTCTTGGTCTTTGCTTATCTAATTCAAGGAACCCTTTAAGATCGGTAATTTGGAGATATAGTATATATTATCCAATATATACTTCACAACTGATATGTCGGTTTTGATTCTCGAGGTAGCTTTATGATGTACGAGTGTAACCAGTGAGCGGATCAGTATACCACCGAACTCTAAATTTTTGCAAATCCTGGGCGATACATCGTGGCATTTGCACCCTCTTCATAAATACGCATATGCTGGAATATTTGAAGATTCATGTTTTCCCGGTTCACTTGACCCTAAATAAATATTTGATCAGACCCTATCCTCGTGTAAAATTTCTGATGTTCGGCTTACAATAGTGGTCTAGTCTAGAGCTACTAGGAAATCATAGGGTATACAAATTCACCATAAAGAGTTTGGGACGTTTTTATACCCTTCACCACACAAGGCAGCTTATGTAACTTGTGATCAGAGCAGTATACCACCGAACTCTAATTTTTTGCAGATCCATATACCGTGCCTGGGCGATACATCGTGACATTTGCACCCTCTTCATAGATACGCATATGCTGGAATATTTGACGAATCATGTTTCCCGGGTCACTTGACCCTAAATAAATAGTTGTCGAGACCCTATCTACGTGTAAAATGTCTGATGTTCGGCTTACAATAGTGGTCTAGTCTAGAGCCACTAGGAAACCATAGGGTATAAAAATTCACCATAAAGAGTTTGGGGCGTTTTTATACCCTTCACCATACTGTGGTACAGGGTATTATGTCTATGTTTGTAACAGGCAAAAGAAATCGAGATAGACCCATGGTTCCCTTAGAGAATATACATAGAATAACTTTCTGAGTCCATGTTCGTCCATGTATTTTTGTGAGCAAAATACAGATCGCATTTACGATTTGGATGAAATTTGGCACATGTCACTTATTTGGCCCAAGGACGAACCCTATTGAAATTGGAGAAAATCGGTTCAGATTTCGATATAGCTCCCACATATAGTTTCGTTCGATTTTATGTAAATGATGCACCAAACTCCCAATATTTGTCCGATTGGAACAAAATTTTGCGCAGAGTATTGAATTAAGCCCAGATTGATGTATGCGAAGTTTTGTTGGAATCGTTTCAGATTTAGTTATAGCTCCCACATATAGTTTCGTCCGATTTTATGTAAATGATGTACCAAATTCCCAATATTTGTCCCACTGAATCAGATCCATACTTATATACGCGAAGTTTTGCTGGAATCGGTTCAGATTTAGATATAGCTCCCGTATATAGTTTCGTCCAATTTTATGTGAATGATACAATTTTATGTGAATGATACGTCTTGAGGATCTGGAAGGAGCATTTTGAAAAGCTTCTGGTATCAAATAGTGGGGTTGATGAAGATACCCCAGAACCAATGAGAGATGATGGTATAGAGTGTATACCACCTAGCCAAGATGAGGTCATAAAAACAATTAATCGGCTCAAGAACAACAAAGCAGCAGGAGACGATGGGTTACCAGCCGAACTATTCAAGACTGGTGGCCAGATGCCGGTCAGGAGCATGCACCAGCTGATTAGTACAATTTGGCTAGATGAATACATGCCCAATGATTGGAACCTTAGCATCCTGTGTCCCGTGCACAAAAAAGCAGAGAAGACGATATCTGCCAACTATAGAGGAATAAGTCTCCTTCCCATCGTATATAAAGTGCTGTCCAGTGTGCTGTGTGAACGATTGAAGCCAATGGTCAATGACATCATTGGACCATACCAATGCGGCTTCAGACCTGGCAAATCCACCATTGACCAGATTTTCACTCTGCGCCAAATCCTGGAAAAGACCCACGAAAAACATCGACACATACCACCAATTTGTCGACTACAAAGCCGCATTCGACAGCCCTATCCGTTCAGATGTGTTTGAAGCCATGTCTACGTTCGGCATTCCTGCAAAATTAATACGTCTATGCAGGATAACTTTAAGTGGCACAAGATCAGCAGTTAAAGTAAGGAAAGGACCTATCGGAGCCTTTCAATACGGAACGAGGATTTATACAAGGTGAATGTTTGTCGTGTGATCTTTTTAACATCCTACTGGTTAAGCCCCTAATTCCGATTATTAGAAATATATATCATACTAGTCTACTTTTTATTCAATTTTCGATAGAACCGCCGTTCTATCTTACTACTAGTACAGAATTTCTGGGTCAATTATGGAATTATTTGGAAAATATATCTACCAATTTCCTTCCTATTTTTACGTGACTTGTATATGTGTTTGATGTGCTTGCTACTTTGAGCTTAAAATTATTTCGAAATATCCCTGTTCATCAATTCCTAGTTGTTCTTCCTTGCTCGGCCTCACAATCGATCATAGATATAATCCAATTAAAAATCGTTGTCAGTCCATGCTGCAGTTAGATTTCAAACCTAACTGAAAAACGAATCAGTCTTATCAGTTGTAGAGAGTACGTGCCAAAAAGACCCAACAACCTTAATACTCTGCAACGTTAACGTCCATACAAATCACTTCAGGCGATAAATACCAATACAAAAAAAATCTCTCTTCCACACATACACTTGCGGACCAAAGACCAATACTGCTTGCTGCCTCCCCAAAAAAGGCGCAATATTATAACACATTAAAAATATTTTCAGTCAGCGCCAGGATCTACCAATACTATGACAAAAACGCACAAAAACTGAAATTTAAAAACCCACCCTTAATCTAAAAAGGATCAGATGTTAGTTTTCCCAAATGATAGAGAAAGAGAATGGTGGGGTATCTACGGTACGGCAAAGGCGATCAAAACAGACTGTAACACCCAACAAGAACGCCTAAGGGATGAAAAGTCAATGTGCCAGGGATTTTGAGTGTGTGTGTATGTGTGAGTGACAGAGGCCTTGGTGTGGGTATCTTTGAGTGTGTGTGCTCGTAATAAAGCACCTTTTAGGGGAAGAGGAGAGTTGGATTTAATACCAAGCTGAGAGTAGACAATAAGAATGAAGTGGTGTTTTTGCCGTTTTTGGTTGAATAGTTGAATGCTGCTGCTGCGGCTAGCTCGGCATTGTGGCTGTGCGACTGCGCCCTGTGCCTCAAAACAATTGATATATTACACAAAAGGTATGCTTTTTGGAGAGTAGGGAATTTTGTTGTTGCAGTGGCTCTGTCGCCACCGCTGCCGCCTGCCTCTGCTGCTGTTGTTTCGCTTCATTGTTTTGGTTATTGCCATCCACAACCATCAGTCAGTCATTCAGCCAGCCAGTCTGATATACAACATTCTGAAGTCATTTCCGTTGGTAGGACGTTTGTTGCAAGAGACGCCCCATGACATTTCATTACGAGACATCGGGCACGCGACACACCATAAAAACGCAGCTGCTATAGAACCAAACGTCCGACAGACAGACATCGAGCTAGCAAGTCATAGCTATTTTCCTTTGAAAAGAAAACTCCTGTAAAATTACATGACACACCAGCAGTCAGTTTAACGGCAGAGCTTCAAGTGACAACATCGTGAAGCGGGAAAATTTTTGGAGACGATTTCCAATTCAAGAAAAACTATTTACAAATCCCCTTCCTCATCGACGAAGCTTTTTAATGAAAAGCTTCGCCTTCCATTCCATGGCCACCTTGGGTGTATTGAATTATAATTTGCCACCAGGATTAACCATGAAAATGAATAACAACAGCAACAACAATAACTCACAGCAAGGATCAGCAATGCAGTCCAACAATTCCCCATTGACCATGGCGGGAAATACGAATAAAACTTTCAACAAAATCACAGTGCAAAATGTTCTAAGTGAAAATAATTCTAATGCCCTGAATATTGCCCAGGGTAATCCAAATGCCATTGTAAGGAAAATTAAAGATTTTGGTATGATTGGAACGGTGAATGGAGCAGGGAATGTTAATTCCCTCAATTTGAGTTGTAATCCTCGAAAAAGGCCTTTGAGTGAAAATAATAATAACAACAACAATTCTAATGATGAAAACAAATCCTGTGGAACTGCACGTAAAGATAAGAAAACCTCTCCCGGGGCTAGCAAAAAACCCAAATTAAGCAAGGAGGAGAGGACTGCCCTGAGATTGGCGAAAAAGGCTGCCAAGGAAAATGCCGCCGCCATGGCCAAAGGTTCCCCACTTCCACCCAATGGATTACCCATTAAAATTCCCGGTACCCCAGGAAGAAAAGGTCTACCTTTACCCCAGGCTGTGGCACGCCGCAATGCCCGTGAACGTAATCGTGTGAAGCAGGTTAACAATGGTTTTGCCGCTCTGCGGGAACGTATCCCGGAGGAGGTAGCCGAGGCATTCGAGGCACAAAGTACATGTAAAAATAATGGCAAGAAGTTAAGTAAAGTGGAAACGCTACGCATGGCCGTGGAGTACATTAGATCCTTGGAACGCCTCTTAGGTTTTGATTTCCCGGCGGGAGCTGCCCTCAACTCCACCTCTTCCAGTGGTGATGATAGCTTTTCCATGATTAAAGATGAATTCGATGCCTATTCACCCAGTATGGATGAACATTATGATGACTCGCTGAGCCACTACGATTCCGAGGAATATTTTGTCCATCAACCCACAACACCAATGACCAACACTAACCAACCACAACCTCCTACAGCTTCATCTCTGCCACCACACTGCCACAGTCCACCAACACAAATGGATAGCCTACCGAATATCACCTCGTTGAATGGCCTGCAGTACATCAGAATTCCAGGGACAAATACCTATCAATTATTGACCCCAGACATATTTGTTGGTAATGCGGCCTCTCCCCCTTCCTCCACCGTTGATGAAGAACATTTCCAGGCCTTAATTGACACTAATTGCAACAGTCCAGCGTCGTCACCATTGGTCACAACATCGAATACGTCATCACCGACAGCAACAACAACAGCGGGGGCACACGTTACAGCTGATGCCAATACGTCTTCTTCGTCGCCAACAACAATTAGGCCGCACATTAACCTGGACAGAACGGAAGCAGCACCTGTTTCGTCTTCCCTAACAAATACAAAGGGTTCAGTAAGTTTGTTATCGACTTCTTCACCATCATCTTCAAGAATATCGCCCGTGCCACAACACCAACTTCAACAGCAACAACACCACCAAATGAATAACATGTTAACAACAGCAACAACAACCCCCAGTACAGCTGAAAGTGCAGTTAATAATGGAAATCAAGCGATATTACAAAGGGCAACACCTGCCAACTCCGCGGAACAGCAACAGCACCAAGAAATGCATGACTTACGGCAAACGTGTGCCGTTAACCCAACAAGGGTCTCAATGGAGACACAGTTAATTAAACAGGAATATGAAGAGCCAACAATTATCTATCAAAATCAACAGAGATCACCACACGGCCATCAACAACAACAACAACTGTATATGGCAGCTCCATCCCACCCAATGGCCATGTCACCGCCCTTGGAGAGGCAAACCCCAAATTCCCAACAATTACCACCATTTTTCCACAACACCAACAACAATCAAAACAACTTCTATCCCGGCCTAATGCAATTGAAAAAAGAATTCGATGAAGATCTTCTGGATGTGGCCCAAAATGTCAATGTCATGTCTGATGAGTCAATGATCGAAAGCATTGATTGGTGGGAGGCCCACACACCCAAATCGGAAGTGTTGTAAATGTAATAATTTTTATTAGTTTTTAATTTTAGTTTCATAAATATTTGTATATATCACAACAACAAAGAAGTTAGTTATCCAAAGCAAAACAAACAAACCAAATTGTATACCAAGTTTAGAGGTTAGGTTATTTTTTAATATTATTTTTTAAAGGAAGACACAAAAAAACTACGACTTATTGGAAATTTAGTTTTAAGATAATATTTAGCCGTAAGACTTTTTTATTCTTTTGGGATAATGGTTTATATTACAAACAAATATTTGTTTTTATTAAGAAAATTTTTATAAAATAAAAATAAAAAAATAAAATGTTCAAAACGGAAATGATTTTGTTTTTTATTGAAAAAAAAAACGATCTGCTGTGCTTTGCATTGCACATTACTTCGTAATTTTGTTATGGGGATGATATAGTGGAATTCGCTTACACATGTAGGAGAATTTCAAACATTGTCAAAATATGAACTACAAAAATAATCTTTCGCCGGCGGAATGTTTGATCGTAAATAATCTGGTATTTATTTGGGATACATTCACACAATTTTGATGACTGGTCCAGGAGCATCAACGTACCGAAAATTAAGCGGGGCCTTTCCAAAAATCATAAACATATATTTAAACGTTCCAGAAATTCGGAATGACGAAAATGGGTCCCATCCGTCTGGGGTTACGGAGGTTATGTCAGTAGATAAGGCTTCATCGAAAATGAATGGCAACATTTCTATTAAATTGCAGCCACTTCAATGGGCCTTCAAAATACCGAAAATATAATTGTAATTAATTTATGGGCTATATACCAACAAATAGACCAATATTAATATTTGACTTCCCATGAGAACCCAAAATAATAAAGTAACAATCAATACGGTTGAAAAATTTGATCAAGTCTCCAAAATACCGAATAAAGCGGAGCCCGTTCTATGATAGCCCCAAAACTATGGACCAATATTGATAGTTTTTATACTCTTCACCACACTGTGGTACAGGGTATTATGTCTTTGTGCATATGTTTGTAACAGGCAAAAATAATCGAGATAGACCCATGGTTCCTTTTGGGAATATGCATAGAATCACTTTCTGAGTCGATTTATGCATGTCCGTCCGTCCATGTATTTTTGTTAACAAAGTACAGGTCGCATTTATGATCCGCTGAAATTTGGTACTTTGAGTTATTATTGGGTAGCAAATCTCCATACCAAATATTATAAATAAAGGTCCATTTTTTCGGAGAGCCCCCATATAAGGGTACCCCCAATTTTCGGTATTTTCGGGTTCTTGAGCTCGTTTTATAACTGAATTCTGTGAAATTTTGAACATCGGGTTCTTATTGGGTACCAAACTACTCCACGAAAAATTATAAATATAGGTCCAGTTTTTCTGGTAGTCCCCATATAACGGTACCCCCAAATTTTTGGTATTTTGGGGGTTCTGATCGTATTTTTCGACCGAATTGACTGTAATTTAGTAAGTCGAGTTCTTATTAGGTAGCACATCTCTCCACTATAAATTATAAATATTGGTCAATTTTTTCTGGTAGCCCCCATATAAGGGTACCCCCTAATTTTCGGTATTTTGAGGTTCTTGAATGATGTGTGTTAAGTTTCCTGAAAATCGGTTCAGATTTAGATATAGATCTCACATATATTTTCCTCCGATTTAAGGTAAATTGTGTACCAAAGTCACTATATATTTTTCGATTTGCACGAAATTTTGCACATCGTACTAAATTAAGTCTAGAATGATGTGTGCAAAGTTTCGTGTAAATCGGTTCAGATTTAGGTATAGCTATATAGCTTCGCCCGATTTTAGGTAAATAGTCCACTAAAGTACCTGGAAATGTTTTGATTTGCACGAAATCTGTCATAGCGTACTGAATTAAGGCTAAAATGACGTAAGCTAAGTTTCGTGAAAATCGGTTCAGATTTAGATATAGCTCCCATATATATTTTCATCCGATTTTATGTAATTGGTGCACCAAAGTCCCAATATATCTTTCGATTTGCACGAATTTTGGTATAGGGTACTGAATTAAGTCAAGAATGATGTTGCTAAGCTTCGTGAAAAGATCCATAGCTGGGCCGATTGACACAACGTACTGAAGTAATATAAATTAGTCTCTGGCAAGTTTCCCTGAAATCGGTACAGATATAGATATATAACAAAAACGCGTCGTCTGTTAGGATACATATGTAGAATATACCCAAAGTGGTGAAGGGTACCATATAGTCAGCCCAGTCCGACTTTACTACTTTCCTTACTGGTTGTTTGATGCATTCAGTTGTGAAAAATAGATCCATATCAAATACCTTCCTATTTTCGGATGTTTTTTAGGTTTGAGCAGTATTTCCCAACTAATTTTCCAAATAGGTTTCTGCATTGACATATCCTCCATATATTGGTTCCGGTGTTTGGAAGGTTTTGACCGAATTTTCTACAGAATTTGCAGTAATTTAGCAAACCAGGTTCTTCAATAGCGAATATAAAATCTGTTTAGATTATACCCAATATCATTTGATGTTTTAACATAGCCCACATAGAAAGCGGCTATGTATAACGTTTTAACCAAATTTTCTCGTCGAAGTAGCTATAATATGGCATATAGATTTCCTGTCATGGTGCACAATGATTCGCCTTTTCTTGGTAATTTTTTGAATTCCTTCGAAGATTCCAAACAATTAAGTTGTGGTGTACATTTCTCAAGCGGAACAGTGCAACATGACCAGATTTGCTTTGAAGTTTTTATTCTACGAATAAATATCATTTGATTTAGGTAGTCTTCGAAGTCCCAAATGATCGATTGCTGTTTTGTTTTGGGCTCATGCGTCCATGATACGTCGCCTGTGGTGATCATATAATCGCATTTTGAAGCACCATGATCATATTGTTTCAAATTTTCGTCTCAAAATTTTAGCTATTGTTTAATAGTGCGGGATCAAACGAGATAAACCCTTATATGGTCAGATGCCATGCAATAAAGTGAAAAATTATCGCACAAAAATGTTCATTAGTAAATTACAATTTTGGAAAATTGAGTTTTGAAGTCACTGCAGACTACACAACACGTGATCGTAGGTCAATCATTACTGACTATGCTTATGCTAAAAATTGAAGAGCTTAGAAAGTAGCAACACCTTATGTTACCTGCCACAGATTATGTGGTCCCAAGAGTTTGTAACGCGATATACAAACTCTTGGTACCACATAATCTGTGGCAGGTAACATAAGGTGTTGCTACTTTCTAAGCTCTTCAATTTTTAGCATAAGCATAGTCAGTAATGATTGACCTACGATCACGTGTTGTGTAGTCTGCAGTGACTTCAAAACTCAAACTTCAAAACTCAATTGATTCCAGACCCACATGTAAGAATACCGATCGTTATATATCGGTATTATAATCAAAGTATAATAGGAATTGTAGGTGATCTTTAATAGAGTTATACGGGTATGTTCTGGAACTCACGGTGTGTTCTTTTCACTTTACACATACACTTCACCTCAGAAACTACCTCCTGTTCTGCTTCTCATGTGAATTGAAATTTTGAACTGCGACAAAAATAAACGTCGACATGGTACTTTGCAGAAATAGTGTTGCCATACAATATAAACTTTATTTATTTCTAACATTGTTTCTGTATTTTTTTTAGTAATTTCGTTAATTCTAACGACAATTTTATTATTATTCTTATTATTGTTTAATATTTTATTATTCGCAACATGAAATATATGTATGAAAAACTCTGTAATATCATTATTTTGTTTATTGATTTAAGGGGAATATTTGGTAACCCTATCTTTTTCGGCCTTACTTCAAATCAGCTGTTTGTGTCAAGCGAGAAATTCAGATGAAGAAAATTCAAGACAAACCTTAGTATCTATTTAAAATTTGTTTTTAATGGTGTCTCATGTTCATTTTGTGATTTTAAACAAATTATAGGTAATAATAACATATCAATCTATCATCATGTGCCTTTTTTATTTCAAAAAAGTTATTCTTTTATATGAAAAAACATGAAAACACCCGACTCTCACTATGGAAATGTACGTGCAAAGAATACACCTCAAATGGGTGTAAAGTGTGTTACAGAACACCTCGGCGTGTGTTCGATACACTTCTGCCGTTGAAGTGAATGCCAGAACATGCCCGATAGTAAAATATTTAAAACGGTATGTTTATTATTGCCATTGATAAGTTGTAGTTGTTTTGAGTATTTCATGGTCGGCCCCGTGCAACTATGCAGCTCTTCTTACTCATATCATATTCGCATAATATTTTATTTTCGTAATGTAAAATTCTGTACCAAATCCTGAACCCCATACGTTCTTATGATTATTAAAATGATCCAACATTTCTAAAGTTTTTCTGGGAAAGATATCTGAAAAAGTATGCGGTATGACCTTTAGAAAGGTCACATTGTTAAGGGTATGACATCCTATTTTAAGGTACAATTTGTGTTGATTTAAAATATGCATTTTTCAAAGCCTTTATATTGACTTCAGTTTGCCAAAAAAAAATTAAATATGACAATTTGGAGCTCATAGTCTGAGGGGTTCAAAATTCCTTAAGGATCAAGAACACTGATTAATATTTTACTAGACGCCAGTTATTTCATCTAGTAATCGCCTTTTATCTTTGTATTCAGCTCCTTCAAGTTGAGATGACATGTCTTCTGTCAAATCGAATCACGAATATTTTTGTAAAAAGTTTGGTCCTTCTAACCGAATTCCTTACAGGTCGTTTTTGACTTAATTTTCTTGAAAGTTATTACCACAAGAAGAGATTTTTTTGATATTCAAATATTCTAAAAAATGTTGCTCATAAGATTTTAGACAGGGTCCTCAAAGAAATCAGTATTCACACATTTTCCCACCCTTTCCATTTTTGCGCAATCCTTATATGTATTTATATTTTTATTCCTAATAGTATTTTTAAAAAATAAAAAAAAAACGAAATTTAATATCATACTTATTTTGAAATGATCTTAAGAGGATTTAAAACCAAATTTACTTGCAAACATAAACACAAAACA